GTGGACATTAAACTGAAGAAGTGGTATGATTTGAAAGGAGTGGAGTGATGTTTTATCATTCTATTATATGTAGAATTACTACATTTATATTTCTCAAGGAATTTCTGCTATTGAATTTACCGCTTTAAACACGCTGTCTATGCAGGTTCTTGCTGTGAAAAAAATTAATTCATCTACTCTGCTCAATCATGCGGACTTTTTGGACATTGTGTCAGGGATTTCCCGGTTGAATCACCCAAATGTAACTGAGTTGGTGGGCTATTGTTCTGAGCATGGACAACTCTTGCTGGTTTATGAGTTTCATAAAAATGGTTCTCTGCATGAGTTCCTTCATCTCTCAGATGAAGAGAGCAAGCCATTAACATGGAATATCCGTGTCAAGATTGCATTAGGAACTGCACGTGCACTAGAGTAAGTTCGCTGAGCAGTCTATGGAATAATAGTTGAGAGCATTGCGAGTGGTAACACAAATTTTGCCGCATAATTGTCATCCTCCATGTTTTTGCTAATGCTATTAGCTGGCACATGCAAATGTATGTCTAATTAAAGCTTAGACGGTTTACTTATCTTTTCAGAAATTAATATTATTTTTTTCTGACTAAAATTGAAAAGGTAAGATAAACATTCAAAATAAGTACCTTTTTATATAGATGTAAGAAAAAAGTGACTTATCCAAACATGTTTGGAAGCAAATTTTACTTAATAATAACTTTTAGTTACTTGTAAACTTAGCTAAAAACATGTTAGTTTATGTCTTTTATTCCCTCTTTTAGTTCAGCACACAAGTAAGTAGCCTATTTCTCAAGTAAGTTTTCTTTGTAGATACCTACATGAAGTTTGTTCACCGTCTGTAATCCACAAGAATTTCAAATCAGCTAATATTTTACTTGATACGGAGCTCAACCCTCATCTTTCAGATTGTGGTTTATCGAGCCTCGTCCATGAACCAGATCAGGTATTACTTCAAAGCTTTTTAAATATCTTTCTCTAGCAATTTCAGAAGATTAGTGGTCTCCAGGTGACAGAGTGTCTCTTTCCAAGGAGAACGGTGGAAATTAAATTATGCCTGTATTAATTGTTTCGTTCTTCGAGATGGAATTATTCTAGCAAACTCACAGTAGACGTTTTATTCTTTGAAGATCCAATTATCTTTCTAAGGAATGAGGTTTGAGGGGGTTGCTGTCTTGCCTTCATGTATTAGCAATGTTTTAAAAAT